GATCCAATCCAAATAAAAATGATCCGATCTGATCCAGATTCAGCAACCGGATAGATATGGTCATTCTCTATGATTGTACGTGTTTAGTTTTCTCGAATTGGCACAACCGACCATGAAACCTGTGTGTTAGAGAGAGACAGAGCAAGAAAGAATGAAATTGTTTCTTGATTCTGGCTATAATAATTATACGATCTTGTTCAGATTTTACACATATAGTCATCCTCTACGATTCTGCGTTTTTGGTTTTATCGTATCTTTAAAATTGTGGATGCCACAGATTTTCGCCCTTTGTGGGGGCGGAAGTGGGCGGGGCAAAGTTTTGAAATATTCTTGTAGCAGTGACTTATCACAGAAGTCTGGATCCAAAACATCGTTGCTCTAGCTCTTATAGCCTTTGAGCACTAGGCGCTGAAGGGGACGGACAGACGGACAGACAGACATGGCTCAATCGACTCGGCTATTGATGCTGATCAAGAATATATATACTTTATGGGGTCGGAAACGCTTTCTTCTGGACGTTACACACATCCACTTTCCCCACAAACCTAATATACCCCTGTACTCATTTTGAGTATCGGGTATAAAAAGCAGAGAAGCACTAAAGGTAAACAAATGGTAAACAGCTGGGCACCAGGGCTGCAAGACGGTAAACAGCTCATGGAAATAAGTTCATTGAACCACAGTGGAATGAAACTAGTAAGCGCAAGTTTTACATTTTACGATTGTCATATTGTGCCTGGGTATTTTTTAATTGTAGAATACAGTATCGAAGTATCGAAACATACAAATAGAATGGTTCATCACATCCCCGTCACCTGGTCAAAGAACCAGTTCATATTATTCACCCAGTTCCGTTCACGACTGACTATCGGCACACAACTGAGGATTACAATTTAATTTGCAATTGCTGTTTTAAAAGTTGAGCAGGACTATATAACTATAACTGCAACCAATTGTTGTGCGCGGATCAGCTCTATGTACTGTTATTGTGGAATTCCATTGGGTCGCTACGGATTTCAGCGCACAGTTTATTTAAGTGGCAAAGCGAGCGCACGGTGGTAACCTGATCTTCTACTTCAATAAATGAATACAAATTAAGAAATAACAAAAATGTTGAGGAAAGCTCTGTTAGATCAACTGAAATACTTCATAGAGACGGTCACCAATGGTCACAGCAATCCACAATTGCTGACAAATCCAACGCTCATCAAGCTCGCGTAAGATTCCCCATACCACCCATTCCCACAAACAAGTAAACAACATTTTTATTGAATCTATAATCCACAGTTTGAGCTTCCTTGATGAGCTGCCAGCGACGCGGGACTGTGTATTTGAATATTTCGCCCTCCTGGCCGAGATCAGCGTGCAGCTCTATGTTTCGCCCGAAATGATAGACCAGAAAACGGGAATGCCGGTGTCGCAGGTGAAGCAAGGCGGCAACCGCAAGCAACAGATGCGTGCCCAGGAGTACGAGAGCTTCAACATGGTCAAGACAGCCCTTCAGAACTTGGTGTGGAAAGGTCTGCCTGCCTGGTCACCGTTGATTGCCAACTGGAGCCTGGAGCTGGTCGCGAAGCTCTCTGACAAGTATACCCAGCGCCGCATGACCATCACAGCATCCTGCAACTATTGGTTGGAATGCAGTGCCATGCACGGACTGATGACTCTCATCAACAGTTGTTTTCGCAAGCTAACCAGCGCCGAGGAAGAGACCTGCGTGGAAATAATGCTCAATGCCTTCCACCGGTTCCCCATGACCTTTGATTGGATTGTGGCACGTTTGGGCGGTTGTTTTCCATACAAAATCATTATGCAGATTCTTCAGTGTGGCATCAAGCGCTTTGTTGAGGACTATCGCTGTCATCTGGACTCTGAGGCTGGCATCTTGGACTACATGACGTCGTGTCACGAGCAGCAGTTGCGTGCCGCATTTCGGGAGATGCTTAAGGAAGGCTTTGCTCCAATGAAACCGCTCGATATCGCTGTGGTTCCCTTTCTACTGATCACCACAAACTACTCGGATGCGATTCTTCAGAGCCTAGTCAATGTGCTTGTCGAAATATGTTAGTAAGAGCAAAAATATTCTTATTCTTTCTCTAACATCGCTTCCTCTCTCTGCAGACTCGGAAGACATGTGCGAAGTGATTATAGAGAAGGCCCCGCTTTGGCTAAGCAACAAGATGTTTGCTGACATGCAGCCGACTCTTAATAATGCAGTGCTACGGATGAACGAGCACGGAGCCACGCTTCTGATCACGGCGGCGAAAATGGCAGAGAAGTTTGTGTGGTGTCAGGACTTTCTGGACAACTCCATGCAGGAGCTGGAGCAGTGGGTGCTGAAACAACGCAACTTCCCCCTGCTGGCAGATCTTGCCTACGAGGAGACGAAGTACATGCTCTGGAAGAGCTGTCTCAGCAAGAATCTCCTCGAACAGCAAACGGCTGTCCGTTTGCTACTCGTTGTCTGTAAGTACATCTGCCTCCCCATGAAATGGTGGCAATAGTTTATCATTTCTCTGCTCTTAGCCTCTCAGCATCCACATATATACTATCAGACGATATCCCAGCTGCTGAGGAAGTCCTACACCCAGAACCCGAATGGGATAGGTGCACTCATCCGCCTGCTTGGCGGGCAAAGTGGCGTGGTCAACTTTCCCGGCTTTACGCCGGGTTTCGAAATGGTCTTGGAGGACATAACGCTGCACGTTCAAGTCAACAACCGCCTGCCCGTGCCTCCGGGAACTCCTACAGAAGCGTACAATACATTCTCCAACCTTAATATGCTAGCAAAGTAATGAATGCAGAAGAGCTGTGATTTTTAGTTTTCCAATTCCAACTCAATCTACCTTCATTTTCCTCAACAGAATGCATAAGAGCAAGAATGTAGCTCCCTACATCAGGTCGACGCAGTTGACCCAGGCTCTTAACGAATGTCTGCCCAAGATTGTACAAATCTTCGACTGCACCGTCAACAAACTGGTCCTGAAAATGGACAGAGATGCAGCCGAGAGCAGTGCTGCAAAGTTCAGGGCCCAACATTCCAGTAATAATAAGCGCGAGGGCCTGACGGACATTTGTAATGGTAATGGTTATGGGAAACGACCCAAAACGGAGCCAGGGGAGAATGGCACGACCAGTAGCCCTGTCGATGATGAGGATGCATGCCGTATGCGCCTGGCCCATCTCATTGTGGACCTCTTAAACAATATTGAAGGAGGATCCTGCCATACTGTGCTGCGCACTCCAGTGGTTCTTAAGCTAGCGGTGCTAAGCGTCAAGTATTTCTTTGTGGGTCTCACCGAGAAAAGTAAGTGCGCAAAAAAGGTCGCAAATAAATAATTAAGCCAGCTACTAATCTCTACCCTCAGCCGTCATTCGTCGCGCCGCGGCCGCTCATCGGTCATATGCCCTGCTGCAGCGCCAATGCTCTGCCCGCAAGATTGCGAGAACCGTCTGTCTGCGGGAACTTGTGGAGGGTGCCCTGTTCTATCACGGCCATCTCTTGGGCCAACTGGAGGAGTACAAGCTGGACGAGCTGGAAATACCCGAACATGAGATGCTCATTCTGCAAAACCTTCACACCAGCTCTGGGGCCAACTCGAATCGTTCGGTGCTCCACTCGGGAATCATTGGGCGTGGCCTGCGGCCAGTGTTGCCCACAAATGACCGAACGTGCGATGCGGAAACGCAGGCTCTATATCTAAAGGCATTGAATGCCTGCTGCGCCGACTTGGTAAGCGATTTTAAGCAATTATTGCCTTTCCTTTAGTACAAGTATGTATGTATTTTCCCCTCCTGCTTAATAGGAAAAGCCGAACAATGTAGAAGGGTATTCGCTGGTCTCGCTTCTGCTGGTGGAGCTGGTCTCCACTGATGTCATGTACAATGGCCTGCCCTTCCCGGACGAGGAGTTCACAAAAGTCACAATGGAAAGAGATATGCAGATTAGGCGCGCCTTCATAACGTCCCCGGTTCTGTGGGCAGTCTTGGGTCTGATAGCGGGCCACAGACCCGCTCTCTGCTACTCATCAGTGCTTTTACGGGCCCTATGCGCCACGTGTTTGCATCACTGGCGCGGCAAAAATGGTGAGCAAGATTTGACTGTAACTTGGGGGACCATTAACCAAGGGAAATCCCTTCTCAGTAAGCAAATTTCAGGCCACCGCGGCGAATGACGAGCTCATGCTCTGCACGAAGAAGCTCCTGCAGCTGCTGGCGATGAGTCAGCTAATACCACCCCCGTTGACCAATCTGCATCTAATCATTGAACACTTCGAGTCGGCTGAGGAATGTTAACAGCTCTAGCACGTTTCGCAGCATCACTTATATGGCCACATTTGTCTTGCAGATAGCCCTGTTGCTGCGCGAATGCATCTGGAACTACTTAAAGGACCATGTGCCCTCTCCAGCGCTGTTCCATGTAGACAACAATGGCCTACATTGGCGCAACACCAGTCTGGCCAAGGTTCCTCCTCAGTATGTGGACACGCTGCGGCATCTAATGCAAAGGAAACTCTCTAAGTTGGGTCCACACTACCACCAGATGTTCATCATGGCTGAGCTGATGGACAGCAAACCCGGTCCAACAGGAATGGCGGAGACAACAGCAGCAGCAGCCACAATGCTGCCCGCCTCCAGGCTACAGATCGTCGAACTAGAATAAGATTATGTAAGAGTGTGAGGTGTGTGAACTAAATGCAGTGTTTGTATTTGTATTTGAACTTCAATGGGTTGGCTTTATTTTTGTTTGTTTCTTTCATTCATAGATTTTTGTAAATTAAAATCTCAGCTTGGGCCTTGCGAGTATGTACTGTCCAGCAGTTACTGATTCGTCGGCGGCTGAAAATGCTCCAATTGTTTTGTTTTGAGTATTGAATATAACGAAGCCAACAACGATTTTCATTTCATTAAAACAGATGTTTTTTATGTGTGCCCCAAGCATTTATGAACGATGGGCACATCCCTTCATCCTTCTACCTTCAGTACATAATAGTAACAACTAATTTACTCTTTCATTTGATTCATATAATACACAGTATTGTCACATGGATATATGTATAACTTTCGTGTCGCTCGAACTCGAGCCCGACCTCGACTGCCCCACCGCCGCTCGTCTCAGACGACTTTAAGTCTCTGCTGCTGCTGGGGTCCTGGTCCGCCATCCGGTTCCTACTTTCTTTTATAGCTACAAATACTTGGCGAATATAGGACAACAAAAAACGGGAAAACAAAACCAAAAAGTTGCTCACAATTTGTTAACGAAGTTATTCTTTCATTACTCTTAGCAGCTAGGTTAACCTTCTTCGCCTGCCCCGCCTACGAGGTGCGGCAATGGCTCAGCTTGCGCACCGAGATGCACGAGGTTAGCTTCTTTGCGCGTCGCTTCAGCGCCGATCCTTTCTTCTTAGCCGGCATCTCGTCTCTGTTTCCATTGCCCAATGACTGTCCTGCCGCCGAGGATGCTGCGGCGGCAGCTGCACTTGTGGAGGGATGCTCGTAAGTGTGGCAGGCAGCATGGGCTGCCGCTGACTGTTTTGCTCGTATCTCAGACGCGGCCGCTGCAGCTTGTCGCGCCAACTCCTCTGAAAAGAGACAAAGCGTGCCCAATTAGCTACGCCAAACCAGTGCTCTCCATTATTGAGCATTGACCACTCACGATTGACATCGTGCTCAGTGAAATACACATCTTCCTGGTCGTGCTCGCTGCCATAGTGGTAGGCTTCCAGGTAAGGCAGTACTGTGGAACATCGGTATTTGTCGCCTTTCAGTGGAGGAATGGGTATCGGTGGGCCGGTGGCCGGCGGTGCGGATATGAACCAACTGCAAGCAAGGAAACCATTTTACTGAAAACCAGACACTGAATATGGACATCTCCCACTCACGTGTCCTTGCGTATCTGCTGCAGCGAGAGGCGGGCACTGGGATCTGCTTGCAGCATGCCTAAAATTAGCTTGGCAAAGTCTGGGTCCAGCTCGTAGAGCCAGTCGGGCGCCACCCACTGCCTGCGACCAATGTTCTCCAGTAGGCGATAGATGTTATCGCCCTCGAACGGGTACTGTCCTGTGGCCAAGTTGAAGCTGTAAAGACAAGTATACGAATATTAGTCAGATCCAAATCGGGACCTTGAGAGGTGGGACCTACAGTGTGACGCCGCTGCTCCAGATGTCCACTTTGAAGCCAGCGAACGTTTCGTGGCCATTAGCTATCTCTGGCGGCTGAAATGCTGGCGAGCCCTGGCCCGTTGTGCATGTGTCGTCCGGCGAAAAGAGATCCAATTGCTCCGCAACGCCGAAGTCGGAAATCTTCAGTGTTTGGTCCAAGGACAGTAAAAGGTTGCCGGGTTTTATGTCCTTGTGAATGACGCGGCAGCTGTGTAAGTACTCCAGGCCATCGACCAGCTGGTGGAAGTAGCCGTGCGCCTGGAACAATGGCATCTTCTTGTCGGGCTGATAGTCAACCATTTCTTGCAAACCTCCCACGCAGTACTCCATCACCAAATACATTTTCTGCTTCTCATCGTTGTAGAGGACATCCACTAGCTCCACAATATTCGGGTGCTTCAGCTGCTTCAGCAGGTGGATCTCCCTCGTTACGTTCTGCTCACCGTTGGGTATGCGGCGCAGCTTGCGCTTCGTGAGTATCTTGACGGCGAGGCGGCAGAGGTCCTCCGAGTTCATTGCCTCTTTCACTTTCCCGTACGAGCCCTCCCCCAGAACATCGCCCATTATGTACTTGCCGACCATTTTAATGTTCTTCTTCTTCTGCTGATAAATAATGTCCTGACTGTCGACCCGGTTGAAGAACACGTTGCCCATGTCCAGAGTGACGCGGTCCAGTGTCTCGATCTCGTCGTCATCCAGCCAAGTGACCTGCGGGTGTGGATGTTCTTCTAGCAGCTCGGGCTCATTATAAAAGCTGCCCGCCCTGGCCACGCCCTCTGCCGTTTCTTCACCTTCCTTGAGCTCCGCAAATGCCTCGTCCAGCTCGGATGCCGCATCATAGTGAAAGTTTGTATTGGCTAGCAGTACTGTCATCTCATCGTCCACGGCGTCCTCATCCAACGGCTCCTTGCCGGCCCCATCGACAGACTTGTTGGAGCCGAGCTGCTGGCCACCGCCGCCTCCTCCTCCGCCGCCCTGATGATGATGATGATGTCCTGCTTTGACTGGTGCCTCCATTATATGTGTGCTGGTCACAGTCATTTGGATACGATACTCTCTACTTCCCTCCACACACGCTGTCTGTGTATCCCTATGTATTGTATGTATATAAAAACGGAAAACGACTCTCTTCTGCCGACTCTGCTCTCTCCTTGCTCCCTTCTCTGCTTCCGTATCGGTGTCTGCCTGCGTACCACCGTATCCCCGTCACCGCCACCGTCTCGTGGGCTAGAACTAGAACATTGCATAAACTTCCGAACTGCCCACAGCCCACCGCTCACATTGTGTGTATCGTTTCGAGGGCCAGAGGAGGGCGCTTCTCACCGATATGATCGGACGTCGGTGATATGACGGCAAGGAGCGGAGCACGTCGTAAGCAGCAGCGGCTCCGAAAACGGCTCTTGAAAACCTTTTTTTGACACCCAGGGGCGGTGTACTTCCGTATTACTTGGACTGGCCAAGTACTGGCTAGGCTAGTGCTACGCGCTTTGGGGCCTCTCTTTTGAGTTTTATTTTTTTTTAATAAATTCGCACAAGCACAACCAAATTGACAGATTCCGATTTCTCGAACTCGGTGCTAGATTCTCAAAATTTGTAGATTTTTGTGTTTACTCTCAAGTGAAATGGGTATCGATATGACGGTGTCGATATTATATCGATATGAAATGTCACACTAACGCTGCCACCAGGGCTGCTGAATTGTTATTAAGCGAAGTAGGCAACGATTTTCGTATGATTATGATCATTCATTATAATGGTAGGCGACTCGTTGGGAGAGCCATGTCTGAGGGTGTTGTCCGTTAAATCCTTTACCCCCTGTAAGGGTTTCTTTGACGGCAGCAACAGGACTCCTGTTAGTGCCGGCCGATTGTTGTTCTTGTTATATACATATGTATGTACCCTGCGCAGCTGCTTTTGATGTTTCATCTGATGTTCACAAAGCTGCCTTGTGCGGCGGGCGCTGGCCCATGCAGTGGCCAGTAGCTACGTGGGGAAAGACGGCGCGACGCAGGGGCCCCTAACTCTGACCAGCAAACCTTAAATCTCAAAGAATTCAGGGAAATCCAACTTGTTTCTTCTTTTGCTATATAGTATATTTATTCTTGATCAGCTTCAAGATCTAGGCGCTCATCGGGATAACAGACGGACAGACAGACAGGGCATGACTATATCCACTCGGCTATTGATGCTGATGCTTATGGGGTTGAAAACACTTCCTTCTGGGTGTTACACACATCCCCTTTCATCCGGTCGCATGTGTACCTGAACCTGCATGTACGTATGTGCCGGAAACATGTTTTTGAAATTTTTTTTAAAATCCTTTTTTTCATTAACTGGTTGGGTACCAAAAATATTTCATTATATTCTCTGCATTCATATTTAATTTCTTAGTAATATTAATGTAAAGTATTTGGTAATATGTACCTTCTATGTATAAAACTTAACCAAAAAGTGTCATAGTACTCTAAAAATGATAAAGTAAGTGAAAATTCCTAAAAGCTACGACTGCGATTCAATTTGTACATTGTTGTGTTTACCCTCAAGTGAAATGTGTATCGATATGGCGGTGGCGATATTTTGACGACATCGAAATCGCTTTCACCAGGGCTGAATTGTTATTAAAAAATAAATAAATGCTGTAGCGAAGTGACGAGAAAGAAACGAAGTTGGCGGTCACATATATTACATTTTTTTAAAACCCACCGATTTTAGTAAGCAAAACGCAAGTCATGGCCACTGGAATTACCACCAAGGAGCGGCTGGAGAGGCTGATGGCCGCCAAAACCCAGCTGGAGGCTCAAATTAGTAAAAATGGACAAATTTTAGCTGCAGTAAGTAAACTAGTCCAGCGGCTGGTTGATATCGAAGCTAAACAATCCAGATAACAATAAATAAACTCTTCCAGAACGACAATGTGGGCATGACCGGTCCCATGATCGACGCCGAAGGATTTCCACGCAACGATATCGACATCTACCAGGTACGGCAGGCCCGCCAGACGATAATTTGCCTGCAGAACGATCACAAGGAGCTGATGAACCAAATCCAGAAGTTGCTCAACCAATACCACAGTGAGATCGCAACGACCGACCCTGAGCTGGTGAATCGCGCCTCCGCCTTGGAGCTGGACAGCGAAAGAGGGTTGGGTGGAGCTACTATTGCGCCTCCCGATATTCGCCCCATAGTTGTAGTCAATCTAGTCAGCCCCAGTTCCCCGGCTGAAGAGGCAGTGAGTAGTGGCAGACTAAAGACCTAACGCCCTCCGCGCTCATGTGTGAAATTATTCCGTTTGTCATTTTCAGGGATTGCGCGTGGGCGACAATATCTGCCGCTTCGGCTCCGTTAACAGCAACAACTTCAAGGGGGATTTGGGCCAGATCGGCGAGGTTACCAGAAACATGCAGAACCAGAACGTGCAGCTCAAAGTCATGCGCGGCGACCAGCTTCTAGATCTGCTGTTGGTGCCAAAAGCCTGGAGTGGACGGGGCTTGCTGGGATGTAACATTGTGCTGCCCCCAGAGTCCATGGAGTACTAATTTATCATTTAAACTTTGATGCATGTACATTTGCTCCATTTAATTATTCATTCATTGCCAGGCATAATGAACACAGAACATAATTGTTCTAAATTGTAAAAATTGATTTTAGTTTATGTGTAGCTTCGTTTCCAAACCTATCTGAGCTTATTTCGAGTGACCGACGTCCCGGCTTCTGGGTCACTATGCCATGAGGTGGGATGGTCAAGGCGATAGAGTGACAAGTGCACGAATGGCCCTACTCATATATAAGGTTCCAAAATAAGCGGCAACGACTGTCCCCTGTTTCAGGGAAAATAAATATTTTCAAATCAGTGGCTCTATTTCGCATTCGTTATCCCCAAGTTTTCTCGAAATTCTCCCGCCAAATGCGAAATAAAACTTGCGCTTAACAGCACGCTGTTAAGAAAGCTTGGGAGAGAGCAAAAGCCCAACGGAATTTCGGAACAGCGAGGCAGGATGCTCGGACTCAACCCTGAAGCTGACAATCCGCACAGGACACAGTCTCCAGCAGCCCCAACTGTCAGTTTGTGCGCCGTAGCAGTTCTCAAACTCAGCTAAAGTCGCGTGCATTGCGGACGGGACGCAACCGAAGCCGTGCCGAGTAACAAATTTAACTGTAGTGAAAAAATTGCCAGGCGGAAAATTTTGCTATTTTTCGAGTGATAAATAAGAGGATCTCCCGAGCGATATTCCCGAAAATTGCCAATTACGGAGTCCAATTTGCCAAGGCAGTGAGAATATGTGTATGTCTGTGTGTCTTTTATATAATGATGGAAGGGAATGGAAAAGCATTAATGTGTGTTGGCTGGGAGGATGTACGATTTTTTCGCTCAGCTCTCGCCAGCGACGAGGGCAGACGCATACAGCAAATGCGATAGGCGAGGTGGTGGCGGAGGGGGGCGGAGCTCTTGATAGTGTCACTGTCATTGCCAGTGCACAGCAGAACAGAAGAAAGGAGTCCAAGGGGGGGGAGGCTGCACGATTCCGATTGCGGGTGGCCAAATAGGTTAACAAACAATGCGTATAATGGCCGTGCGAACGGCAGAGTACTCCTTATTCTGAGGCAAACTAACAAAAAAGTTAACTAAGGGCGGACTTAGACGCGGCAAAGCACGGTACGTTGTGTGTGTTGTGGCATCCTTTGCGAACCTGGCATCCTGTGTGTTTGTGTGTGTGTATGTGTGTGCAAATGCTGGCAAACCACCCCAACAGACCCCACAGAGCCCAGGACCAACATTTTGGTTACCCAATAAATTAAAAAGAAAACCGAGTGCGTGGTTCTGTGTATCATGTACGGGTGTTCATGAATGTGCATGTATATATGTATGCGTGTAAGCTTTAACGCGCACACACAGACTCGGGTCGGTCAACAAAAAGTTCATCTCCATGATTTGAGCATATGAATGTTCGATTCGAGTGAATGTAGTACATACTTGAATAATTCAGAGATACTGCAATGCTGCTGGACGGCCAAGTTTAAAATATCGTCATCCATTGTTCAGAGCTGTCCGCAGAGCTTCTCATTCCACCCATTCACATCAGCCCAGCCGCTGTCTGATTTAATGCTACGCCGGAGCTTTCGTGCTTGTTTGTTGCTTTCTCATTATCCCGTTGCGTTGCTTTAATAATTCACCAAATACAGTTACCGCTGAATCTGAAATTGCCCGCACAGCACTTTCACACTTTGCCAGCTTCCAGTTGCCAGTGTGTTCGCAAATCCAGGCGCTTATTTGCGAAGCGAAGGACGCATGCAAATGAATTTTTAATTTGCACGTTTTCATTGGGTACACAGAAAAAAAAAACAGATCAAATTCAACTTTCAATCCACAGGTCAAAATTATATTTATAAAATAAGTTTCCGAGGACAATGGTTATAGGATACTCGTATGGTGGGTTGATATTTCAAAGGGTTTTATTGGAAAATGCCATCATTTAACCATACATTTGTTTCAGTGTAAGCTAGATGGGGTGAGGGTTGCCTGTGACGGGCCTAGGCCGTATAGAGTTTTGCTTGGGGAGGATGTGGATGATGACAGATTAGAGCGATGCATCAATGAGTCAGCAAATTAGGCAGGATGTGGATAGGAGGTTGCATCCTGGCGCGCAGGTAATGGGGGATGATGCCACACACTGGGATCTATTTTTAGACCGCCCCATTGCAACTTGCCATAAAGACTAATTTATGTCATTTCCACACAACGTAGCCGCCCGTCCCAGTCCGTCCCCCGGTTGGAGGCAAGTGCGGCGTAAGTGAAGCCGAAGGACACTACACACGCCTCACCGACGAGATGCCGCCGCTGTGCATGCGACATACCGAAGCAATTGCCGTCAGAAGCAGCAGCAGTGGCATCCTTGAAAGCTCCGCGCCCTCTGCCAGAAGGACCACGAATACAGGCGCTGCCAGTCACTGATGAGGGGCAGGCATTTGCACTTGCAGTCGCAGTCCCAGCATGGAATGCATCAGAGGTGGCAGAAGTATAAATAACACAAGGACATGGACGGCGCAACGAACGCGACGAGGACAAAGGCCCACGGCAACGACAACGGTAACGGTAACGGTAACGGTATCGGCGTGTGTGAGAGCAACGTTGAAAGCACCACCAGCATCCATTGCGAGCTGTGACCGTGCAGCTAGGCCACTAGGTTCCCATTGCGGCTAAATGACGAGATTCAGATTCATAGTCGAGAGACATTATTTGTAATGCAATCAGGACGAGGAAAGTGCTAAGTGAATTGTGCCGGGCCCAAAAACTTAAGTGCCAGTACCGCAAAGGCGGGAGCGTCAGTAGCACACACGCACAAGCCAACCGTTACGTGGCAGAGAGCGCGAGAGGAGAGAGCAAGTGAGAGTACGAGAGAGGTGTCAGACTTGTTGTTGGCGCTTAACCCAATTTGAAAAGTTTGTCCTTTGAACGAAAGCGAGCCCCTGCCAGAACCAGCGGACAGCAAGCCAGCACGGTGCGAGTGGCACATATGGCAGCCAGCGGCCGGACAAGTTGCAGGTGCAGCCAGAAATCCAGTAGCAGTAAGCAGCTTTACCGCAAGCGGAGGCGCCGCCAGTGAATGCCACATTGCCAATAAAATAACCTCGTCTAAATGAAGAATGAAGAAACAAAATGTGCGCACGATATCCTTGATCGTGTGTACATTTACGTATCTGCTTGTAGGCGCCGCCGTCTTTGACGCACTTGAATCTGAAACGGAGAAGCGTCGTTGGGAGGCGCTGCAAGGTAAGTGAATGGCCGGCCAGGACATTTTCTGGCTTCGAGTTACGTCATAAACTAAACAGTGGTGCAATTTGGTTGCATTTCCAGATGCCGAGGACATGATAATACGCAAGTACAATATATCGCCAGAAGACTTCAAAGTCATGGAGACGGTGGTGCTCAAATCGGAATCGCACAAGGCCGGCCAGCAATGGAAGTTCACCGGCGCATTTTATTACGCAACCACAGTGCTAACCACCATAGGTACTATGTCGTCACGTCACCCTACTGCATCTGGCATTCAAACGATGCATTCTTTATATCTGAGCAGGCTATGGTCATTCAACACCCAGCACCGTGGGCGGGAAGCTCTTCACCATGTGCTATGCCATTGTGGGAATTCCCCTGGGCCTCGTTATGTTCCAGAGCATCGGAGAAAGAGTGAATAGACTGAGCAGGTGGGTTGGCTGTGCCTGGGCCCTTCCTGTGCCCTTTCCTTTTCCGGCTACCCCTACTGATACTTCCACCTCCTCTGCCATACCCACAGCTATGTTATCCAAGCAGTTCGCACATCGCTGCGCTGCAAACGAACTGTCGCATCGGAGGTGGACCTCATTTGCGTTGTGACGACGCTTAGTTCGCTGACGATAGCGGGCGGTGCTGCGGCCTTTTCAAAATTTGAGGGCTGGAGCTACTTTGATTCAGTATATTACTGTTTTATTACATTAACTACAATAGGTAAGATCTCCATGGCCCTTGAGAGAAGATGGCACAGCTCACCTATTGGTATTTTGTATTTTTAGGCTTTGGCGATATGGTAGCCCTACAAAGGGACAACGCACTGAATAGAAAGCCGGAGTACGTGATGTTCGCACTGATATTTATACTATTCGGCCTAGCAATCGTGGCCGCTTCGCTGAACTTGTTAGTGCTTAGGTTTGTTACAATGAACACCGAAGATGAGCGACGCGACGAGGCGCAGGCCATGCAGGTGAGAAGATCAGAGCCGTGGCAGCGGACTCCAAGCAGCTCATGCAACTCATTTTTTACCGTAGACTTGAGGACTGTTTTAGCATTCCTATGATTATTTTTATGATTAAATACAAATTAAAAAATACGAGTACATTTACCAAGTCGAGATAATCCAGTTTCGCTGTACCTCCCCTTCGTAGTGAACCGCTTTACTCTCCAGTTTTATCCTAATACAAAAGCTTCGCTGTACCTGTTCACTTAGAATCTTTGAATACGATATGTACAACTTTGTTACGTTTATTGCCATTCAATTCAACTCGAATAATTTCCATCTCATCTCTCATGTCGAACCTTGAACCTGAACCTTTCTCTCAGAAACTTGTTAAATTATTTCTACATAGCTTTGAATATCTGCTTGCCACTTTGCTGCACACTTACACCACCGACTTACTCTTGATAATCATGCACCTTCGGTTTCTTTTTCAATATTTAATATTGTGCAATTGCAATACATATTTTGTACTGTATTTGGAACCAATTAATTTATACAATTTATTCAATGCAGGCCAATACGAGAGCAACTCAATGTAAAACGAATTAATATTTTCTTTTTTGGCATATTTTCGGTTGCTTTTGACTTAACGAACGAATCAAATGCAAAACGCGAGCTTAGTTTATGTCCAAGTCCAGTTTATGGACCAACGAGGTGATTGCGGTTTTTCGATTCCATATATTTGACTTACTCTAACTACAACCACCACTTCACCACCTGCTTCTATACCACACTGAACATCAGCCACAGCCAGAGCCACCGCACCGAGAACCACAAACACACTCTCGCCACAGCCACACAAATCCAGTCCCAAAAAACTGAGCTCCGCTCCCTATTTTTTCCACGCTATACTAAGCTCTACTCCACATTTGCACACTCCAGCGTAATATAATATAATAATTAATGCCGATACCCTTTACAGGCACTGCAAGTGGCTGTCAAACTGGAGGGCGATGTAATAACATCCAACGGGTCCATACTGAGCGGCTACGAGGGACACGATGCCCAATCGCTGAACGGATCAAGTGCGTCATCCATGTGCTCGTGCCATTGTATGTGTCTAAATAGAAACCGACATAAAAAGTACGTAATCCGCCTGAGTACATTTCATCACACGACAAAAAAAAGATTAGCAATAGGGCAATTTACAGTGCACTTGTACTTAAAAAGCTCTGCGAACGACGCGTCGGAGGGCAAGATTATCCAAAGGACGTTTCCTTTTCCGACTGAGAGTGAATACCGTGAGCAGAGATAGAGATAGACCTAACATAGTGCATGCAGCTGCCAACGGGACTCTCGAGAAAGTTTGAATAGAAACAGACAGTCAGAGAGTCAGACTTGGCCAAATTCACTTGGCTACTAGTGGTGATTTTAAGGAACATTATTGAATGTACATTATTCTAGATATGTAGATTATTTTTAAGCCTGCATTTATATCGACAAAACGAAGGACGTACCACCAAACGTCTTATGTACGAGTATTTATTCATTTGTGGTTTTTCTCAACTTTTCGATTTTTATATCTGCGCAGGAGTAACCACTTGGGCAGGAACAATGATACAGAGTAAGAAACCTCTTTGAAAACTTTAACCGGCAGCTTATTAACACAATGGCCATTGATTACCCAACAGGAATCGGTACAGACTGCAGCGATCGCCCACACACATACGGCACCTGCTGCCCGAGGTGGTTCCCATGCAGGATTTGAACTACGACTACGATACACAAAGTCTGCACTCAATGCCGGATCGCGGGATCATGGACAGTAACTACATGGGAGTCGACATGGTGGATACTGCGAGCAGCGGATCCCCGTTGCGGCCACAGCAATTGCTCAAGCGCAACGTCTCACTTCTATCTTTTCGCATCTAGGAGGAGGTATTGGTATTCCAGTGGCAGCCAAGAGAGGAGCAATCGCAGAGTGAAAATAAACAAGGGGAGCAGAAAGCAGGAACAACGAAGTGGCGGCCCCACCCCTTGGACCTGCCCTCGCCAAAAACGACTTACAACTTGAAAGTGATAAAAAGGCTCTAATAGTACTTAAAACTTATTTAGATTCGAAACCGAATGTAGGACGAGATGGAGTTGGGAGGATTATTGAAATGCGCAATTTATGTGCGCTCCGCGAGATTCTATTTATGTGCATTTACAATGTAAATTAGTGCATAAATCTATAAAACTTGCAGTAGGCATGCTAGCGACTATACCTAAATATATGTATACATACATATACAGTACTTACTGAACTAGAGCACTATACAATTGAAAGTAAACCACTGCCATTTCCGAGCGATAGAGAACAGGAGCTATGTAAACGACTACATGTACATATCGTATATGTACATGAAGCGGTGCCCACATTGGTCGTCTTTCTATTTGAACACTTACAGCCTCTGAACGGTATACAATATATAAGTTATACCCGTGCATGAACAACATGCAGACATACATACATACATATATCGAAATTGTTATGAAAATTAGGTGCTGCCTTCACTGAAACAACTGCGGGTTTCACTAGCTGCGAGTCCTTGGGAAGCCTCCGAAAACCGAATCCAATCGTACATATAGTTCAACTACCATCAAGGGCAAAGAGAGTATCAAATGAAATTGTGTAAATACTTGATAACGGATTAATGGTAAATAATGTTTAATAATCCATTTTATTCCAACTTATATTGATTACTATTATGTAATGTTTGACTCCAAACTTGATATTAGTTTACGGTTAGTGTGTACGCATATTGTAGCTAGTAGCCACATTTCATACGACGCCAATTAAACTCGATCTTATCCACTCAAACCAAGTGTGAAATACTAATGTAGCTTTCAGTCACCCACAAAAATAATTTAGGCAGCTCCAGTGCTCAAGTGTCTCCACGATGTGCCAAAGCACCCACTCGTACGTACATACGTATGTACATATGTACGTGGGATGCAGACCTAACCCACTATGTGGGCGAATAGTCTCAGACCAGAACCTCCCCAGTCGCATTTATGCAGAGTGCATTTAGTGTTAGTTGTAGATAATGGCGAAATAAATTTCCAAATCCCATGACCCATAATTTAGGCATTTGTTAATTTCTTCACAGCATTTGTATTTAAAATACAGCTCACGAGATCTGTACTAGTTAGTTGATGCATTTTTCAAGGCAATTTTTTCCATTGCTCACTCGAGACGTCAAACGCTTCAAACTCTCTTTTATCCTTATGTGCTTTGTATATGTATATAGGTGTTTATGTATATTGAAAGGAATAATATTACTTTAAATAATGATATATTGTTACAGCAGAAACTACGCGAGTTTAAAAACTTAGCTATGAATTTGATTTAACTTCACAGTTTTTAAAATGAAAATTATTTCTTTAAAAATTTTAAATATTTATATGTAACAAATTTCATCCAGTACTTATGGCAAATATGCCTCTGGTATTCTTTGAATTCAGCATAGGAGCAAAAGAAACTTAAATTTAATTTAATTCAAGCTAATCAGATAAAATAAGACTTTGTAATATACTTATATTCCAGGATTGCAAAAAAAAAACAACAATTAAACTAATTTATACATATATGAATAGCAGATTGCGTTTTCAATTTATCCTGGTACAAAAGTGCATCTTAAACCACTCAAACCAAACCAAATTTAAAAAATCTGTATGGTTTAATTATATTTTCAGAGGTAGTGCTTCTTTTTATCACATCAGTATCTGACATCTGGTTATATTGAAAGGGGGGGGCGACGGGCGACACCCATGTCGATTCCCTTGGTAGGCCATAATAAGATTAGATTCAGATATTTGCAGGAAATAGTTGTGTACAAATTTAAAAATGTTGTTACGATAGCGGAAATCCTCTCATTACTGCTGCTCTTTATGCCTACATCGTTAGAGTTGGCTATTTTTTGTATAATCAAGGCAAATAGCACCTCCCATTTGAAAATTTGAAACATTTGGAGATGAGGACCATCCATTTCCGCTGCGAAAACCCGGTACAACAAATTTAAGCGTAGACTTGGTTAAGCTACCAAAAAGTGATGATTAGCCACCATGAGACATACCGTGAGATACAAACATTGCTCAGATTCAAAGGAACCAATATACAGAGTCCGCATACAAATTGTAAGTAAACATATCTGCTAGCAATCTCCGACACAACACACAATGACGCCTTCCGCGACAAAAAACAAGAACAGCAAAAAACGGATAAATGCACAAGTTGCATACTTGCTCGATTTGTCAATTTTAAATATGAATACTGTGGATTCATGCAGGGCTCTAATATGCATCCTGGGGCTAACATATATGTATGCAACTCTTCAGTCCCCAAAAGTACCCCAGCTTCTGCGGTGCGCCATTTCCCATAGCATTTGATTAGGTATTGAATTATTGTGTTTGTTTACTTTGATTTTTGATTTGGCCTTAGTATTGGCTGAGCTTACCTCATCATACATAGTTGAACTTACATGAGTTCATGTCCAGACAACATTTAGTAGATTTAAATTAATTAAATTAAAGATTTAGTCCAAAACACAAACAAAAAATGTATATTAAATGTATCCGTATTTATTGAAATTACTCATTTTAAAAGACAATTTTAGTTCTTTTGCTGTTACATATGTTACAATATTGTTGTCATCTGCAAGAATCTGGTTTACCTTGCGATGCGCGATGTGCAGCCCTCGACTAAATGATCCCTGTCTGTTCTGTTTTATTGCCCAGCGATGGACAATGGGGTAGTTGGATTGTGTCGAGTGTGGCGGCAATCGAAAAACATAATTTTTAAATATTAAAAAATATGTAGAGTGGATTTGCATGATTTCGTTATCGTTAGCTGGGTGCCAGTGACGCGGGTTAGAATAAGGTGTCTGTGTGGATGTTTGTAGAATAGTTATAGTAGAAATCTAAAATCAAGTGTTTTAATATTAAAGGGACAGCTAACTAATCTAATCGTCCATGCTCTCGTTATTGCGGTCCGGTGAGGCATTTCCGTTTTTGGGCGAGGCCGAACGGGATCGGGAGCGCGAACGCGACTTGTTGTCAACTGAAGCGGACCGATCGCTGCAATGAAGAGGGGCGAGGAGAACATTAGTGTCTATTTAAAGGGTTTTTGTGCAGCCAAGGTCGAAGGACTATGCATAAGACGAACGAACACGTGCATCCAAACAAAACCAAAGAAAGCACGAAAGAAAGAATTTTACAATATAGTGCCTCTCGTATCTGAGATCCACCTTACTTACCGTGAACGAGAGTCGCGATGGTTTGACTTGGAACGTGAACGGGAGCGTGATTCACGCTTCGAATTGGAGCGAGAGCGAGAACGAGAATCGCGCTCACGCTTGGGCGAGCGAGAGCGAGTACGCGAGTGCGACTTGGATTTTGACTTAGACACATCACGCGATTTACTGCAATACAATGGTAGGAGCAAATAAGTACGAAACTATTTAAAAAGATAACCATTCTACTTACTTGGAGCGCGAGCGGGATCGAGAGCGCGATTTAACAGGCGACTTGGACTTGGAACGTCCGCCACGAGACTTGGAGCGGCTGCGAGACTTGGAGCGCGAGTGCGAAGAGCGACGAGAGCGAGAACGCCTGCGCGAGCGAGAACGTGAGCGCGAGCTGGAAGAACGAGATCGACCACGTCCGCCTCCACCTCCACCACCACTAGCGCCCCCGCTGCCACCGCCGCCGCGTCCTCCTCGACGATCCTCGACCAGATGGACCCGTCTGCCATTCAGCTCTGTGTCGTCGAGCTTTTCAATAGCCGTCTTCATGTCCGACAACGAGGCAAACTCGACCACGCTGCAATGCGAAACATAAGAGAAGGGTTAGTTTCGATATGATCAACCAGATTTCGCCAGATGAAGACTTACCCTTCATTACGGCGCTGCTTGTGAGCATCCGCATAGGTGACCTCGCCGGCCTGACGCATGTAGTCCTTCAAATCCTGCAGATTCGCACAAATTCAGTAGAGAAAAAACATAATTAGTCAATGGTCGTGGGAGATGTCTCATAGTCCGCATCTAATAGTGGCAAATCAAATGAGAACGCATGCAGCAGACGAAGTAGATTGAATATTTCCAGGTCGGGGTCGGGGTCGGGTTCGGACTCTCGCTGTGTGGCATGTGTGGAACATGCCTCCTAACCATTTCCACCCTCAGTTTCTGTCCCTCTTTTAATGCCTGTGCCTGAGTCTGTATCTTCTTCTCTTGACGCGCCTGCCTATTGTGGAAACTGAACCTCATCAGCCCAGCTCGCGCTGTTACCTCAACCACCACATTATAGCAGCCGACAGTCGTCAGCCGGCAGCCAGTTGGGGGAAATATTCAATACTCCTTGCTGCACACGTCACAGAACTTAGGCATAATTAATCATAGAGAACATTGTGTTTCGTAAAGATATTTTGGAAATAAATGAAAATAAACAAAATATATTTGTAATTGAGTTCTTACTTAATGCGCTTTCAGAGAGAGGACGTACACACACATCGTTTTTATGGTTTTCGCTTAACACCGAGAGTTTGGATTGTCTGTCTAGTAACTGTGGACCAATGGGGGACACCACCTCATCGAAAGGGTGTGAGCGAGCAGTCGAGAGCGCTCCGATCGAACATCGATTACTTAACCAGGCCGGCAGCCAGTAGCCAGAAACCAGAAAACGCACGTACGCACGGGCGGGCAGACAACACGGAGGGATGCACAGCCACAGCCACAGCCTCAGCCTTAGCCAGATCTCGTATGGTTTTTGTATAAATTTGTATTTTATATTGGAAAAAGTATTAGCTCTTCAGATTTGGACCAGCAGCCAACATTGGAGGGAGGAGTCGCCGGCGGGATACAGTCAGATCAAAACATCACGAGTCAGACACAGTCGCCGGATGCCGGAGGCGGGATTTGTGGTCAAGAGCGAGCGAGCAGTGGCCGTGCACTTGGGCAGCACAACCAGTCATAGAGGCAGTCAACCGGGCAGCGGAGGCGTCGCCAGCAAGCATCTCTCACGGCGCTTCACAGAACGAACTGCAAAAATAAGAAATACGTTTTGGACGACCGCCTGCCTCTGAGGCATGGGCGCTGCTAACGCGCGTGACGACGACATACGGCAGGGGCTTGCTGCTCCAAGCGATTGGTTGTCTAGTCAGTAGTCTCCGCCAGATCACAAGCCAGAAGCCAGAACCAGGAAGGGGAATAAGCTCGGATGCGCTAGCCGATGTGGCAACTGAATGCGCGTTCTGTTCTACGAGTCGACTAGCATCGTCATCGCCATCGTCACCATCTTCATCGATCTTCGTCAGGCTAATCCTCATCCTCATCTCATCGTCGTCGCCAAGATCATCTGATTAACAAAACGCTTCGCTTCTCTTCTCTTTTCTTCTAACCATATTCGACCAGATTCGATTGATTCCAAATTGCCTCGCACCCTTACACTCACAATTGCTATAAGGAATTTGACAATTCTTTATACATATATAATGTTTTGTAAATTAATTGTAAATTTGTAACAATTAAATACCTAACGCAAGAGGCAAGCCTACGCACGTGGGGCAGGTACACACAGCGGGCATAGACGCACTGCGTAGGCTAGCCTTTTGGCATGGCAGCATGGCAGCACGCATCACTCAAATATCAGCAATGGGCCATCAGGCCAGCGTCGGCCATCGTCTTCTGGTCTGGTCTGGTCTGTTCTGTTTTGGTTCGACTCGTTATTGGGATGGACGGATGGAGCGGCGGGCGATGGCGCATCGTGTTCAGACCCAAGCGGAGCGACGATAATAATGAAGCACAGTCTATTGGGATGCGATGCTCTAGTGGCCCTCTTCTAGTGCCGACGACTCGACTGCCGTGCTGTCTCTCTCTGTCTGTCTTCCATGATATTGTATGACCATACCAGGGGTCACGGTACTAGTTTGTCTGGGATCTGCCCACGTCTTGGGAGGATGACAACGACAACTCTATATTATTTGTCTTTACATCTGGTTTCGGGTTCGGCTTTGGATTCATTTTAGCCAGATTGTGGAACCTTTGGACCGGTACACACACACACACATCTCTGTCCCTCTGTGTGCCTGTTTGTCACTCTTTCACTCTGTCGAGCAGCTCTGGGCTGGGCTCTCGCGGCAGTAACAGTACTCATCACATCAAAAAACTCTTTTGGTGTTCGGTAGTTGGTGTGTGAGAGAAATAATTGTGGGTAGATTACGCCGATCAGTACCAGAGTTTAGCATAGTAGTATAGTTGTTTACAATTCACTTAAGCCTAAGTCAACTGTACAGCTTAGTGCTAACTAAATGTTAAAGCTAGTATCTGTTCGGGTTGGTTTTGAGTGGGTATCGAGTGGGTATCGGAAGCAAACAGAAAACGGGAACACCAAAGTTGAAAAGTGGGGAAAAAGTGTTCAAATGATGAGAGTAGTCGAAACGGGAGTTGGATATAGGTTGGACTGGATTGTATGGGATTGGATTAGTGGTTTCTCGGATCCGTTTCAAGTGTTAGCTGTTATGGCTAGTGCTACTCTCCTTCTCTTCGTGATTTCTAAGCTACAGTAGATATAACCAAACGCTCTAGAAGGAGCAAGCTCAATGCACTTACCTGCCAGCTGACGCGGCTCGACAAATTCTCAACAATCAGGCGGTACTCGGTGCGCAATGGCGGCCCGTAGCGGGAGGATGATCTGGAATTTTTGTTTCTGGTGAATAATTGAATGGATTTTCAAATTAGTATGACACTGCGCTGCTGCCGCTGCTCCATCACAGATACAGAGATATGATGTATATTTTTATATTTAAATAAAGAACGCATGATAGCAGGAAACGCGGAACAAAATAAATTAGAATTACGTTAGGTTGCGTGCAAATGGGAGAACAAATCATAATTCGCATAGCAGTAAGGAACTAAGGAGCGCTTCGCAAAACGAGAGAATAAAACAGCAAGTCAGTGTCTTTTAGTCCCTTCCACACGGAGTATTCAGGCCCGGAGTATTCACTGCCGTTCAGATGATCACTCCACTCGACTCATTGGCGATAGGAGGTAACATAAGTAACTCAAAGAAACGAATCGCATCGGTGTGGAAAGGAACACAGGCAAAATACAATGTAATACATGAGGGTAATGGTTCTACTTTAACTCGATGTTTTAGATCATAATCATCGCTTATACAGGAGACTACGAACACAGCCTGTACTTACTTGTCGTTGTAACGTCCGCCTCCGCCGCGGCGTCCACCGTAACGATCGTCGTAGCGATCGCGATTGCTGCCGCGGGCTGTGCCTCTGGCAGGTTCAACAACCACGCTGTAAAAATTGAATATAGCAGATAGAGTTTACGCGCGCTTTTCAAGCACTCCCGCTTGCGTGTCAACTTACCGCTCCCCCAACAGCTCTTTGCCATTTAGCTCGTAGACGGCATCATCGGCGTCACGATAGTCTTCGAATTCCTGCAAATTAAATTAGGTATTGATATTGGTATTGATTTTCAATTTCGTGTCCAACAATCGCCTGCCAGTGCTCGCACTCACCACAAAGCCGTAGCCGTTCTTAATTAGTATGTCGCGAGTGCGGCCATAGCCTTTAAAGAAGCGTTCCAGATCGCGCTCCCGCACTCCGTACGGCAGACCGCCCACGTACACTCGTGATCCAACCATATTACTGATGCTTATGTGTCTTTAGTAAATGCTGAAAAACGAAAGAGAAAATTTTCAGATTCTATTTTGCTCGACTGTCCCGCCGTCGCCAAGGGAATACACATGCAATTCACGGCTTGCGTTTGTGTAAGTGTGTCAGTGTGTGTATGGGCCCAAGTGTTTTGCCAAGATGGCGATGCCGCCAGGTACACGCACACACATGTACACCCCTATGTGTGCAATATACCGGGTACAGAACACGGCAAAATAATCAATAGCCGATGGGTATGCGTTTTGTGTGTGCACGTATAAGAATCGTGGATTTGAATAACATACCGTTTACTAAAGAATTCTTGCACTAAATATACAATCTACTACTTTTTTCACACACTTAATCCCACTTTTGCGACAGTCACGAAAAAATGCAAACTCAATCTCCCGACGAAAACGGAAGTGGAATTTACTTTACTGTCAGCACATTGTACGCTTTCGAACGGGCACACTGACAGTACCATCAGCTTATCGCACAAAAATACCAAAATTTCAATATTAATAAATTCTTTTTATGAGATATATATTATTTTCAGAGGAACCGAGTGTTTTCGTCGTAACATTCTTCACAAAAATACTATATTCAATGAAAAAATTAATTCATCAGTTATTCATTAAATAACTATAAATCGATATATCACAAAATACCAATGACCGTAAATAATGTTTATGGTGTCTTTTTTTTGACAAAAAAATTAACCAAGCCACTCACAATAGAATTAAATATACCAATAGACTGATGGACTCATCCAAGAGGATGTCAATGCACCAATATATAAATCGTGGGGAAATGACATTTAGAGCATCCCAGCAAACCAAACGCTAACAAATGATATCGCATACGAGGTAAATGCGAGACTTAACCCGACAAAACGCTCGTATTCGGACAGGCATATGAAAGAAATATGATACTTGTGTCGTTCAGTTTGTGGCAGTGAAGGTATCATTTATGATAGCTCGCAAAATAATCGTTTGCGAGCCTTCTGCGATATCGGTTGGGAGTCGTTTTTGATATATAATAATATCAAAACAAGAAGTAGAGCTCATTTTTGGCTCGCTTGCGATCTCATTTGCGAGAGTTTTACGATACAAAACCATATCGTACCTACAAAAGCTCGCTTGCGAGCTCGTTTGCGAGCACTTTGCGGAACTCTCGCAAAACGCACGTTTATTGGTTTTCTGGGATGTCCCAATCATCATCGAATTCCTGATCATTTGACAAATGACGTCAAAAGGTGATACCATAAAATTTGTGACGTATATTTCGGTATATTTCTGAGAGTCAAAGCGTATTTATTATTGACAAAATCTGCGGTCACACTATACAGTTCTAGGGCGTCTGCTTGAAGAAAGTGAAAAAGTGATTGAAAAGTTTTTTGCTTCCAACTTGTGCAGTTGTGCAAATAAAAGTACTATGGCAGACTTAAACGACTCCAACGGCAACTACGACGACAACGATGAGGTAAGCGCAGGATTGCGAAGTTTTTATCGTGAAAAAATATCAATGCCGACAATGCACTGCAAATTTTGCACGCGGTTTTTTCGGAGAATTTAATGTGAATATGTACGTGTGTGTGCGTGTATGTGGCTCCGATCCTCGGGCCTTTGAGGCCGGCCAGTGACACGGCATAAGTTCAAAGCGTTCGAAAGAAGCAACGAATTTGCAAAAGAACAACGAAACCGGCTGTAGGCGAGAGAACAGAAAACATGTACGCACAAGCACACATGCAAACATACATACTATATGTATATACACACATCGACGCGGCGTTGCAAATAAAAAGAAAATGGCGGGCGGCATTTTTCTTTGTTGTATTGATTTCACTTGCGACTGTACCTGAAAATTGCTTATGTTTGTTTGTTATTTTTTTTACAACGTTCTTGACTCTTGCAGCAGATTACCGAGCCGGAGCAGCTGCGCAAGCTGTTCATCGGCGGTCTGGACTACCGCACCACGGACGATGGCCTAAAGGCGCACTTCGAGAAATGGGGCAACATCGTCGATGTTGTCGTCATGAAGGATCCGAAGACAAAGCGGTCGCGTGGCTTTGGGTTCATCACCTATTCGCAGTCGTACATGATCGACAATGCCCAGAACGCGCGTCCGCACAAGATCGACGGACGCACCGTAGAGCCCAAGCGTGCTGTGCCGCGCCAGGAGATTGATGCTCCCAATGCCGGGGCCACAGTCAAGAAGCTGTTTGTGGGTGGACTGCGCGACGACCATGACGAGGAGTGCCTGCGAGAGTACTTCAAGGACTTTGGCCAGATCGTGGGCGTGAACATCGTGTCGGACAAGGACACCGGCAAGAAGCGTGGATTCGCCTTCATCGAGTTCGACGACTACGACCCCGTTGACAAGATCATTCTCCAGAAGACCCACACCATCAAGAACAAGAGCCTCGACGTGAAAAAGGCCATAGCCAAGCAAGATATGGATCGTCAAGGTGGTGGCGGAGGCGCTGGTGGTGGAGGTGGCAGTGGAGGCGGCGGCGGTGGTGGTGGTGGCCGTGGAGGCCCCGGTGGACGCACAGGCGGTCGCGGAGGGGATCGTGGAAGCCAAGGCGGCGGCGGCTGGAGCAACAACCGCCAGAACGGCGGTGGAAACTGGGGCGCCGGTGGCGGTAGCTTCGGCAACAATGGCAACTTTGGCGGCAGCCAGGGCGGCAGTTCCGGAGGTTGGAATCAGCAGAGCGGTGGAAGTGGTCCCTGGAACAATCAGGGCAGCAGCGGCGGCTGGAACAACGGTGGCGGTGGCGGGGGCTATGGAGGCGGAAATAGCAACGGAAACTGGGGAGGCAACGGCGGTGGCGGCGGCGGGTTTGGCAATGACTACCAGCAGAGCTATGGTGGCGGCCCGCAGCGGACCAACAACTTTGGCAACAGCCGGCCTGCTCCATACAGCCAAGGCGGTAGTGGAGGCGGTTTCAACAAAAGTGAGTCAACGTTCGTGCAACACGATTCGGGAAATCAATTAACAAAAGCATCTTCTGTCCTTGCAGGTGGAAATCAAGGAGGCGGCGGCGGTGGCCAGGGCTTCGGGGGCAACAACTACAACACTGGAGGCGGAGGCGGTCAGGGTGGAAACATGGGCGGCGGCAATAGACGTTACTAGACAAGGTAAATATGGTAATCGAGTTGATTTGAGCCGGACGGGCTTGTCCCCGAAGCTCCGTATGTGTGTAAGCGCTCGGATACGTACATATTTCGTCGTTGCAGCTAGCCAAAAACCATTCATGTGAATCGCTGAACTCTTGAAACCGCTAATGCCAAATTTTCTCCTTTCTCGCAAATAGGTAATCACGTAGAGAGTCAGTTCAAGCTTCAAGCTAGACAAACAGGCAGTCTAGGCGCAGGCAGACAGAGACACAGACAGGCACAGGCACAGGCAGAGGCAGAGGCAGGCAATCAGTGACAGTGAGAATTGTGTGGGCGCGAGTGTGTCAGTGAAGGCAGACAAATACCCGAACAAAAAATACAATGCAAGAAAACAGCAAACAAGCCAGCTCGATCAGATATGCAGTTTTCAGCCCTCAAACCCCTGAATCCGCTAAGAACCGCGTACCGTGTGTGTTGATAAGAGCCACATCCAGCCACAACAAGCCAAAAGAAAACCAATCTCACTCCACTTGTCGACAGCTTGACTGCTGCTGTCTCTCTTTATAAACAACAATATTATCAATTCATGTTTAGGATTTTAAGAACCTTGAACGCTTAGTTTTAACTATATTAACAAGAAAACGATAACGAAAACAAAAGAAAAACCAAACAAACAAAAAAACGCAAAATATACTAAACTACATTTTATTTTATGATAAATTGACTACCACAGAAACGAGAACAATGCAGCGAACAATCTCGTTGGGAACGGGCTGCGCCAGGTAGAGTACCTTTACACTGACTTTATTGTGTAGCTCGTTGAAGGCGATCGCCATTGCGGCAGGTCCCCTCAGATATAGTATACAGATGTAATGTTCATGTTTCAATTCGTATTTTGTAGCGGATGAGCGCATTACAAAGAATCAAATAGAACCATATTTTATAATACCATTTTGTACATTTAAGAAATTTTATATTATTTATATCGTATCGTATTCAAGAGAATACTACCCCAATTCCCGGAGCAACTTAAGCAAGTCTTGTTAATGATGAGTACTCGTAATTAATGAGTTAGAATTGTGTGTATATTTTGCCGTAACACCCACTAGACCTACATGAAAGCAAGCAAACAACATGCTCGTATAAACGAAACATACCAACTTTGTTAGACCCTAAGAAGTAGATGCTACGATACACAAGAAATCCATACAAATCGAAATCCAAAAACAAAACATAATCTGTAATTAGTTCGTTACGAGACCACAAAGGCGAAAAGAAAATAAAATTCTACTGAATGTTACCCACCCCACCCGAAACGACCCCCCCAACTGACAGCGAGACTGATGGCGAGAGCCACATCTCAGCGGAACAGGCGCAGGCGATAAGGCGATCAGTGACATAAACCAGGGTAGCAAGGGTAACCTAGATAGCGTGGCAGACAACCGGTCAAACTAAACTCATATACAAACAATGCAGACTGCGTACTAATGCACTACGTATTTCTTTGCAAGACTGGCTGGGCTGGATGGATGCCCCTGCTCCTGCGCTGAATTCGAAATCCGTCGCTTCTGTTGCACTTCGGTTCCGAAAAGTCAAAAGATTGCAGCGGCCACCAGAGCGAGCGAAGCTTGGATTCACTTTGGAATCTGGTTGGCAGTGATTTTACCCCGAAGGTAAGTCCAGGTAATTACTAACCCATGTATTCCATATACCCTACTCGTACATATGCTTACGTCTGAATAAACAAACAATTTCCACAAATAAAAATGCATTTTACCTATTTATTTGGCGATTACATGGCATTGGGCATTACATATACTTTGTTCGTGTTAACACGAGGACGGAACTACTGACTTCGGTAATGTCCAGTCGTAATCTCGGAAAATACAAGCCCGAACGACACAATTTTGTATATGGTATGCAAATTTCGGATCAAAACTCTGTGCATTGACCATCGATCCACAACAATCCATCCAATCCACTAGTCAAGTGACTTTCAAGTTGCAAATTAATTTTAACGGTGCGTAAGTAAACGTGGGAAAAGAGATTCTTCAGTAATTACACCCTTTCTGTAGGAATATTCAAATTTGAAAGCAATTTATCGAATCCTTCATTGACATTCGATAGGACAAAAAATAGGGCCGGCCCAGGGTTGTATTTGTTCAAGCTAACTGACTTGCAGGTTTCTTTCCGTCTGACGTTTAAATCTTTTCATTTCCAATCGGTTCCCGTCATTCACTTTCTCGCTACACTTCAGACTAGTTTATCTGCATTTGATCCCAATCCATTCGGTTTTAAAACAAAAATGAATAACAAACGCAGCTTCGATGGTCTCTGGCTCACCAAGCAAGAGGTATATATTTGGTTTCTGTACAAACGGCCACGGCATGTAATTTACCCTGAAAATGTGAACTTTTTTCTTCAGCAGCGCCAGGCAGTTCCAGGAAGCAGTGACAAGGCCAACTTAACCTATGCGGAAGTCACTGAAAACATGGCAAACAGTGCAATCCAAAACGATGAGCACTTGCGCAAGATCTTTATAGGTGGGCTACCCACGCAGACTACTCCGGAAACTTTGCGCGAGTTCTTTTCTAAGTTCGGCGCAGTGGCCGATGCCGTGGTCATGCGCGACCCCGTGTCCAACCACTCGCGCGGCTTCGGCTTTGTCACTTTCGTTGATCCGGGCTCAGTAGAGAATGTGCAGAGCACCCGCCCACACATTATTGATTGCAAGTAAGTACAAAAAAACAAAAACAGCTTCAGCGCCGGGACAGCGGAGGTTACTCAACACGATCCTTTGTCCAGGACTGTAGAAACCAAGCCCGCCTTGCCGCGGCTGGAGTTCAACAAGCCTCCAGGAATGGGCAATGGCCAGACGAACAAAATCTTTCTGGGTGGCCTGAAGGACTGTCACGACGAGCCCATGATTCGCGACTATTTCTCGAAGTTTGGCACCGTCATGAGCGTCAAGGTGCTGATAGACAAGGAGACCGGGCGTAAGCGGGGCTTCGGTTTCTTGGAGTTCGGGGATATCGACAGTGCCGAGAGAGCGTTGGGTAGGTATCTCAGCAACATTTTATTGATACTCTTTAACCTCTGATCACAGTTCTGAGCAAGCACGTCATCAACTTTATTACGGTCGAAGTGAAGAAGTCAACTCAGAGACCCGATCCTGGCAAGCGCCTTCGTTTTCCCATGGGCGGTGCGGCCCGCGCCGGCTACGTTCCACCGCAGCCAGCCGTGATGGACAGAAACTGCTACAATCCACACTTCAATCCGTTTTTGGCACAGTCAAGCCTGCCGCCTTCAGCCTATATCAATGGCTGGGCCTCGTATGTCACCCCAAACATAATACCAGCAGTGCCCCACATCTTCTATGCCGTACAGAATCCCATCGCCCCTGGGGCTAGGGAGGGCCCTCAGTCTGCCTGCAATACGGCACAACAGTCTGGGGGCAGCAATCTCATCGAATGGATGCCAAAGCCTTACCAGATTCCGACCAATCAGCGTCCCATCAATGATTACAAGTCGGTACAGGCGGCTACTGCTGCTTCTTCAGCAGGGACTATAGATAACGTGGTCGATGTTGGCGCCGGAGGCGATGCGGCTATTGCTCCGGACAATAAGTGGTCCACCGAAAACAACAACGTTTTCAAGACATCTCCTTCGCTCGACTGAGACTCTCTGCCCGCGTACGGTAGGGTAAATTCATTTAATTTGATTACTAATTTGTTCTACGCCCGTACCTAAATATTACAGGCATGTAAGGAAGTCGGCGGCCGTGGCACACATTCGCTTCATGGGAGCGACACATTCATTATTTATTCATTGATTGGTTCCACTTATTTGCTAAATATTTGTTGAATACACCGAATTACACGACAATCTCTAAGAGAACAGGAAATGAAAAGGGTTACATGTATACCTAACAGCGATGCATTCTCTCGCAAGGCGATTGAGGAAAGGACCGTGTAGATTAATTTTTCATGTAACCAATATTACAAGAAATTCAGAATATAATAAACAAATTAAAAATATAAATCAACGAAAAAGGTTTAGTCCAGCTACATATACACATTTTTTAAAGTAATTAATTACATTACGTAAACATTTCCTCGCCTGGAGATTGATTTGAAAGCCCTTGTCTGGGGTGGTATTAAGTTAAGTGTCATTAAGCTAAGACCTGTATGAGGAGAATAAAACGATACCTACATACTTCAGATCAATCCATTAAGTTATGTAGGTCTTCCCTCGCCTTGAGATTGATTAGACACGCTGTGCGCAGACATTTTGAGACTTAAAACCGTAAACTCTTTCTTTATTTAAACTATTTTTGTTGGATTTTTTTTGTTTTATGTTTGTTTTCATTTTCACATAAAGTATTGCGTGAGTGAATTAATTTGCGTAATTGTTTTATATCTGAATCGCTATAAAACGCACCACTGAATTGTTTGTGACTCTGGATTAGAAATGGGCTACTACTAGTACACGTTCTTTGAGTTTGTTTTTAATTGATTAAAATTATGCAAATTGCTTGCAATTGCTTGGCTTGTGCGCATCGATTTCATTAAATGCTAAATGCTCAATTTGTTCATCTCGAATGCGAGGGAAAATCACTCGACTCGCAACAAACGTGTTGGTAATCGTAATTAAAAATAATCATTTCTCTACGTTTGTGGTGTATTGTATTTCTCTGATTCAATATTTGATTTCATTTGATTTGTTGGTGTTTGTTGTATCAGCCAATGGCGCATTCACCAGAATCTTTGATTCGAATTTAAATATCAAAAGTGTACGTGGATTATAGTAGTTAGGTAGGAAGGGTAGGGGAGGAAGGATCTAGGGAGGGAGACTTGAACAAAATAATAATACAAATCATAGGTTTTCTGGTAAACACGTGAATCTTTCTTCTTTTATTATTATTATTATTATAATTATTTGTATTTGTAATGTGTGTACATATAAATTAAATTATAATTAAGTGTGTTCCTCTACATCCTCTATGTGTTATCTCCG